GAGTGCCGCTCTAGACGGAGCGCGCCGCGCGCCCGGGCTGCCCGGGCGACGACTTGACTTGACGACAGCCGCTGATTGGTTGCCTGGGGAACCGTCGTGACGTCAGCTCCCGTATACGGAGACCCGTGCCGCGCGCCGTTCAAATCAAACCGTGACGTCGGCTCCCGTAAACGGGAGCCGGAAGTGATTACGTCAGTACGGGTTCCGGCTCCCGGGTTCAGGTCGAGTCGCGAAAGGGCCAGTGGCGCCATCTAGCACGGCCATCTGACAGTTACTATACAAAGCAACGTTCATGTTTTGACTCGTCGCCAAAGGGTGGCGCTGATATCGTATTTAGTTTCATCTCGGTGGACGTCAGCGGTCCAGGTTTCAAAGGTGAGTTTCCCAACTGAGTGGTTTAATAATGTTGTCTGAGATGTTTCGGCGGCACCCTCGTATGGTTCTCCTCTTGACGTCACGACCCAGATTATTAGCAGCGAGCGACCAGTTAGATGTTGCGTAAAAAGCAAGATGGAGGCTATAGTCATCACGTTCCTAAATCAACACCGTCATAATTGAGAGTCTGACCTTGCTCTTGTTTCTGTCGATGAGAGCAGATGTAATCCGTCTCAAGACGTCATTGTGAGCGTTGGGCCATTCCTAAAAGCCACGGAGCTAAAGGCCGATCACCTCGACACTTTTAGTCGTTCGCTTTGTCAGTAGCGCAGGGCTTGGGGCCGGACTGCATCGACATACAGCAGTGACGTCCTTTCCAGCATGCGTCTAAAGCCCCTTGATAAATCCGCTTTTGGCTGGTACCGCCGGCCATTGTTCTGGAAACTTGCAAGACACATACCACGAGTGGGGGTGCTCCGTCGCCATTCGCTTCCAAAAGCCACTCATTTTACTGCTGCGCCACCTATCGCTTCCAAGAGCAGCTCATAGCGCTGCGCTGCCATTTGATTCCAAGGGCCGCTCAAGACGGGTTTCGTGCACTGGCGCATTTGACGCTACTTGCAAAACAAACGCAAACCGCGCAAACACATCAAGGGGTTCACGTGCGTCGCTTGCTTCAGAAAAAGTCATTAGCAGTGACTGTTGTCGTAGCTTCTAGCTTTGCTTTACACATAAAATGGGGCGCTGCCGAGCACTATGAGCTTAAATACGAAATCGCAAAAATGTGGTTTTGCTACTCGCAAAAATCGTGGATAGGAATGTATACACGACGTTTCGGGCGGACGCCCTTCTTCAAGTGATAGACGCGAATGCAGGTTGATATCTTCGTGTTTGTAAATTAACAAATACCTCGCTGAGGCCACGAAGCAAAAGATATATACTTGGGCGTTCAGAAAAGGACACGAAGCAAAAGATATATACTTGGGCGTTCAGAAAGGACACGGGGAAGGAAGAACTCAACTTTGTTGAGTTCTTCCTTCCCCGTGGGACCATCCTCGTGTGTTGCGTTTACTGCCCGCCCTCTTCACGTGAAAAAGCCTACTGACTTCTCGACAGCTCCCTGGAGGCTGCTGCTTCAAAGCCTTACGTGAATACTCTTATCTTCGGCGACTTCAACTGCCACGTAGACTGGTGCTCCCACGAGGTTCCTGTCCCTCGTGACAACACGGACAATGTGCTCCTCGAGACCACGACTGCTGCGGGCCTGGTCCAGGTGTGTCAGCAGCCGTCGTATACGTCCCGCGAGGGTGTACCGAGTTTTCTCGACCTCGTCTTCACATCCGACGCAACACGCATAGAGCTTGTGGAGACTTCCGAAGGCCTCCACGGCAGCGACCATCTGGCCGTGGAGCTACGTTATGCAGTCTCCCTGCCCCGTACTGGGCATCACGCTCTTAGGTTGTGGAGGTTCCGGCAGCTGGACTTCGGGCACATGGCTCAGCTGGCCCACCTGACGCCATGGTGCATGACCACCACCGGTTCAGACTGGTCATCGAATTACGATCTCTGGTGTGATTTCATGTTCGCAATCCAGAAGGAGTGTGTGCCCTGCTCCACACACTCATCGAAACGAAAACGCCTGCCATGGATCACGCCAGACATCATAAAGGCAGCGCGAACCAAGCGGATATTGTTTCGGAGGGCACGCCGATCTCATTGCCCAGCCGCCCTACGATTGGCAAAGGAGCACCAGCGGACGCTGAAGGCTGCTATCTACGTCTCCCACCAGCAGTATGTTCGCGACATTGCAGAAAGAGCCAAGACCGATCCAAAGGTCTTCTGGACCTTCATTAGCCAACTGCGTTCTACGTCACAGCGACCGAGTTTTACCATCAGTGGTCGCGCAGCTAACTCCCCACAAGAAATAGCCAACCTCTTTGCTGACCATTTTGCTTCTATTAACAACAACAGTCCGCCTCTGAGTTCCTCGGTATTCACAGCACCAAATGTATGTCAACCGGAACTACCTGCACCACAACCCCTGCCTGTGTATGCAGATGACGTTCGACAAGAACTTTCCAGGGTGCTGTTTTCAGAGAAAACATTGCAGGAGGCACTCGCCAAAATCAAGAACTCTTGCAGTCCTGGGCCAGATGGGGTCGCTCCCATTTGGTTTAAGCTGTTCTGCTCGCATGTTCTTCCAACCACATCCAAGTTACTTCAGGGTCTACTGGACAGTGGGGTCGTCCCAGAAGCATGGCAAGAAGCGCTGGTCACTCCACTCCACAAGGGAAAGGGGAAGCCAGTGGACGAGCCAAGGCACTACCGTCCGGTTTCAATCACCTCAATTGTTTGCCGGACATTTGAGAGGGTTGTTAACGCCCAACTTCTAGGCTACCTCGAAGAATCAAAATACCTCTCGGACAGTCAACACGGCTTTCGTAAGGGCCGCAGCTGTGAAACCGCCCTCTCAACCATAACACATTTTATTAGCGACAACATGGACAACCAAGGCACTTCGGATTTAATACAACTCGACCTTAGCAACGCATTCGACACCCTGAACATTCAACTCCTGCTGGAGAAGCTCGCCCATGCTGGGGTACAGGGCTCCTTATTTACCTGGGTCTCTGGCTTCCTGCGTAATCGCAGTCAACGGGTTCTGTACCACGGCACACACTCTGCACGGACACCCATCTCGTCTGGTGTTCCGCAGGGTTCGGTCCTCGGTCCGACGCTGTTCCTGCTCTATGTGAACGACATGCCACGCAGTGAGAAGCGTCTTCTGGTGCAGTACGCGGACGATACGTCAATTCTGGCGTCAGTGTCATCACAATCTGACGCAGATCACCTCCAACTGTATCTTGCTGAGGTTGAGGACTGGACCACAGCGCAACACCTTCGTCTCAGTACCTCCAAGAGTGGTGTGATGCGTTTCACGAACAGTAAAAAACGCGACAAACCCTCTTACACTGCCGGAGGTGCTCCTCTACTATTTCGGACCACCTGACTATATTGGGTGTCACCTTCTCGCGGAACTTGGACTTTTCCGCACACATTGCAACTGTTATTGCAACTGCCCGGAGGACTTTGGGTTTTGTTTCTCGAGTGACAAGGCCGAGTGGACCGGCGGCACTGCGCACACTTTATACTGCCCTGGTCCTACCCTCGTTAGAATACTGCTGCGCAGTGTGGTCGCCTCCTCAACAACACCTCCTCGACCGCCTAGAAAGTGTACAGCGTCGTGCATCACGCATCATCTGTGCTCGGATCTCAGGCCATGCTGATATATCGTACCCCGCGAGGTTGAAGGTCCTTGGCTGGCGTCCTCTCGACCAGAGGCGAAGAATTTCGCGGGTCCGAGTGCTGTGCCATCTGCTCGACGGGTCACTTCCTGGCAACAGACTGTCCGCCCTCGTACGTGTCAGCAAAAGGACCGGGCAGCCTCAACCACTCCGTGGCAGGACTCTGCGACACAGTGAATCATTGTTGCCTGCGGCTATCAGGGACTTTTTGTCCATGCCATTGGCTGCCCGTAGTCCTTTGCCCAGGGAGCCTGAGGAGTCCCAGGCTCTCTGTAGAGTCTTCGCAGGACAAATGTCTTCGAGTCAGGGTTAGGCGCCGCTCGCGCACTTGCGGTGGAGTGGGACGGAGGAGGGGTGGGGCTGGGCCTTTTGGGCCTCTTGCGACGTCTTGGGACCGGACGCACTGCTGCGGAGCTGGTCTTAGGGCGTCGCGGGGGGCTTGGGGGCCGGTCTTGCCTCTCTCCGTCCTACTCGGTTGCGGGTGTGAACTGTGCTCTAATCTAAACTGGCGCAAACTTTCAGCTTTCTCACCCTGTATTTAGCTTCATTGTCATTATTTTATTTGCTTGTCGCATCTTATCTTAGTTTTGTGGACGTCATTTTGTGACTCTTATGTACACGGCGGCAGGCAAGCAGGCGCACAGGCGTAAGGGTTTTAACCTCTCTGCTTCGCCTTGCACGCTGCCGTGTACGTGCCTGATCTGTGCAAAATAAATCAAATCAAATCAAAATCAAAACTGTAACCACATGCATGACTACATATCGCAAAACCTAGTGGATTGTCTTCGCTAAGTCAGCCAGGTGTTCATGGCACACAGGAGCAGACTGCGTACGAATCACTTTTTCTCGGAAATCAACGGTTCTTTGTGTTTCTACAAAGCATGCGGCCGCACGCAACAAGCGCTAGTACGAGCCTCTCGCTGGAAAATCATTTATGGTCGCTCGTGAATCTATGGAACACGAACATGCGTTTGCCCGCCATAACCTCTAATACAACGACATAAGAAAAAAAAAGGCGGGGTTCCCAGTGGAGCGGGGTATGGAATGTTTTTTTGTTATATAAAAAGAGTTTTTACGCAGAGTATTTACGAGTTGTAAGTTTGTGCTGCGGTAAGCGCCGGCCGTTACTTCTCACTTCTTTTTTTGGCACTAAAGAAAGAGGATGATGTGTATCTTCAAGCACGCGGATAAGGAAGCTATGGCCCGGTATTCTACCAAATGTGCGAACCAAGAGATTTTCCCCCAGATAAGTGTACCCTAATATTCCTTCCAAGATAAGTGAACCCACATCTTCCTTCCGAGATAGGCAGAAATTGCGCCATGAAACCGAACAGTCCTCCCAAAATGAGTGAACCTGACGCTACGAGCTCTAACATTCCTCTCGAGGAAAACAAAAAGAGTGATTCGAAGCGAAAGCTTTTATTAAAAACACAGGAAGAAAGCTCGAAGACGCCGAATAAAAAAAAGAACCCCAAGACGCCGACCACTGCAACCGGACCCAAGTCAGCCAAAAAAGAGAAGAGCCCCAAGTCACCGAAGGTTCTGCTCGGGAAACCAGAGACGAGCCCCGACAAAGGAAAGGCTCCTGCTGTGGTACAACTAAACATTTCTCCCGAGGCAAAAAATGACAACTCAACCAGAAAAAAACTTATGCACGCAGTTGCTGGCGTTACCGAAGTAGAGGCCGAAGCTCGGCTTGTTGAATCATCGCTCTCCATGAGTGAAGCCGACGGACAAGGTGACGCAGTGCCGCAACTACCGGAACTTGAAAGTGACGAGGTACGATACTTCGAGCTTGTCCAGGCAGGTCGCATCAGCGAGCTCCAGGAGTTTTTGGACGCTCATAAGAAACTCAACAAAGACGCCGTTAACTGTCAGGGGTACACGGCGCTGCACGCCGCCATACACAAGAAAGACTTGCCAATGGCTCGTTTCTTGGTATCCAAGGGAGTACGGCTCATGGATGCGCTTCTTCATGCTGTCCAGACCGGTGATATCGCAATGACAGAGTTCCTTCTCGGCGAACGCAGCAAGACGGAAGAGGGCTGCGGGAAACGTGGTTACGCATCCAGCCCTTCTTTCACAGTCGACATCAGCCCTGTTATTTTGGCAGCGCAAATGAATGATTGGGATCTTATACGATTCTTCTTGAAGCGAGGGATAACCGTAGATCCGCCACACATGGCTTCTTGCATGTGCTCAAAGTGCATCAAGTCGACTCGCGCGAGTGACGTAAACACATCTACACGGAACCTCAACGCTTTCAAGGCCATCTCAAGTCCACACTACCTACTTCAGGTGTCTGCCGACCCCTTCCTAGACGCCTTCATGTACGCGAAACACATGGAAAACGCGTCGAGCGTAGAAGAAGAGTTCAAGATGGCGTACGAGGAGGAGATAAATAAACTGCGTGCTTTTGTCAGGGCGCTGCTGGATCAATGTCGAACAGGGGAGGAGGTACAAACCCTGATGGAGCGGAAGGCTGGTCTTGACGGAGATATAGGACACCTCACATTCCCCCGTATCATTTTGGCTCTCGAGCTCTACCAGAAGGAGTTCGTCACGCATAGCTACGTACAACAAGTTCTACGTCTCGAGTGGGAAGGAGAGTTTCAAGCCTGGAGCCGACTACCTCTTGTCAGCAAAGTTGGTCATGGTGTCGCCCGCTTCCTGACCCTGCCTCTCATTGCGCTCTGGGTGAAGTTAAGGCCGAACACGAAAGTGACGAAACACTGGACGAGTCCGGTGAGCAAGTACCTACATGCCTTCGCAGGCCGCATACTTTTTGTCGTTTTTGTTTATCTCGAGATTACGCTGGACAGAGCCCGGATGTCGAGGGGACCGCCAAACACCGGACTGGAATGGCTCATCGTTATCTGGGTTATCGGATACATCGGCGAGGAGATCGTGCATTGCTGCGCCAAGGGATCCAGTCGCTACTTCAAGAGCCTCTGGACTTGGTACGACATCACCATGTTGTCTTTCTTTATACTTACCTTCGTCTTCTGGCTTGTGGCGTGGGTCGAGGTATCTCAAGATCCAAGTGGAGGAGACATGCCAAAAAGAAACGAGTGGCCAAGCACCGACAGTACTTTGGTGCACGAGGGACTGTTCGCCGTATCTTCAGTCTTGAGCGTGTTCAAGCTTGTGTGGTTTCTCCAAGAAAGCGCCAAGTTGGGGCCCCTACAGGTTTCTATTTCGAGCATGATCATCGAAATTGTTCGATTTCTTTTCTTTTGTGTGGGCATTATGCTTGCCTTTGCGTTTGGACTCACCCGAATGTACGAGCCTTATGCTGGCATGAAACGAAAAGAGGAAAACGGTGACGAAGTCACGCAAAGCCGTGCTTTCATATCCTTTTCGCAATCTATGAAAACATTGTTTATTAGAATGTTGGGGGTAGCTTCGGAAGAACAGTCTGATGTTGTCGTGTCAAATCGGAACGACGGCTCAATTAACACACATGACTTGACCCAATTTCTTGGATCCCTGATGTACTGTACCTATCAAGTTATCATGCTCGTCGCTATGTTGAATTCTTTGATAGCCATCGTGACGGCCACCTTTCAAAAGATCTTAGACAATGCCGAACTTTACTGGAAATATTACAGGACAAAGTTATGGATGCACTATATTAATGAGGCCATGACAGTGCCCAGTCCTTTTTATTTTATTCAGATACCTTTCTTTGTGATGGAAGCAGCCACAAAAAAACGTATGTGGCCCGCTAGAAGAGAACCGACGCTGTCGCACTCGGAGGTCATACAGAATTTAGTGCAGAGATACTTGTGCCAAAATAAGGCTGTTTTGAACAGTTGAGAAAGACAAACTCCTTGTTTGAAGGATGTGCATTTGGCTGTGTAGATCTTGAGGCGTAAGTCTGGAATCAAAATGGGAAAATTGGGTTTTAATGTTAATTATAATTAATTATCAAGCTATTGTGTATAAATAAAGTGCTATGCCAACAGTCAAGCGTTTCTTTTTTGGTGTATTTTCTAACTAATACACAAATGTAAATACACTTCGCGACACTGTTAGCGAGTTCAAAGCATCGCCAGATTTTTCGGCGTTTCCTTTAGTATTAAAGGTCTGTCATCAAAACTACTGTTGGCGACTTGAGCGATCGAAAGCGTCGCAGTGGTCGGTCGGCCACGATTGGCCGAGTGCTGACTATGACGTCAGCAAACGATTTCTCATAGTAACGTAAGAACTTCAATGTTGACGGTGTTGGCAGTGTAGGTTCAGAGCGCAATTATTTCAAGCTTCCACCATGCTCATTACGAACACAATCGAACTTGTTCCCAAGGATGTCAGAAGAGGGAACCATAGAAGGGCGCCAGCCAAACATCTCGCCACGAATAGAGGGTGTATTCAATGGACGCTATTTTTGAGTGCGCTGTTCACTGCGCATGCTCCGAACGAGCTCACATTCATAGGCTGCGAGATCTGCAATCTCGATGGTGTGAAATGTACGTTGCAAATACGTGTGCAATTTAACCGGTCAAAACGCTCTCAGCAGGGGGTGACTTAAGGCTGCGGTGCCACGGCAGCCATCTTGAATAGATGGCAACACGCACCCGTGAGGTGGCCGAAATATTGGTTTACGGTGAGATGGCTCAAGCACCATCACGTTCCGATCATGGCCTTGCTCGTGCCGCTGCCAGCTGTGTTCAGCTGGCTTAATAGCGTGGCCCAGCAAACTTAGAGACACTCCCCAGGTAGCACACTTGCTTGGTTTAGCTGGGGCCAGGGTTGGCACTTAGTTGTGATAGCTTGGCCACGACTGCCCAGCCATTTACGTCTGTATGCCAGCCTGGCGTTTCACAGTCTTTCCTTGCTCCAGAAAGCCACGGAACCGCCAGGGAACGTCTCTCCTGGTTGACCAATCAATTTCCTTGGTCATTGATGGCCAGTGTAAACAGGCCGCTGCCAGTATTTGATGTACCCTGGCTGTCTATTGATTTTGCTCGGTCAGAGATGGCCAGGGTAGCGATGCCTCTGCCAAGCTTTGGGGTTCCATGGTAGTTCGCAGGAATTTCCTGGTCCGCTCAACACAAGCAACAGCCAATATTTGGGCATGTTGCCAGATCTAGATAGGGTGAGCCAAGGAATGCCAGGGAATTGCCGCTATGCAATGATCCGTGGCTCAAGCTCGTATTTTATCGGGCCCATAATTCCCGCTGAAAGCCACTCTTACTCTATAGTTCGTCTAACTTCTTCCATTTTTCTTTTAATTCGTATGAGCGTTCTCTTAACATATTTTTGGTGCTTTGGGGTAAGAGCCCTCGCACTAGAAAGCGACGTTTGAGTGCACGAAGTCTGTTTTAGCTAGAGACATAAAAAAGGGCACGTTTTCCCCATTGAAAAAGAAAAACAAAACTATTTGAAAACAGTTTGGATATGAACAGGCCAAACCCGAAATGAACTGGTTCTAGTGAAATTGAACCGGACAAATTGGAAATAAAACTATCCAAATTGGTCGAACTCGAACTTTATAACTTTCCCGCTTTTTACCGCGGCTTTTATCTACCCTGGCTTGGACGGAGAAGCCGCTTCAAGCGCAAGTGCCCGAGGCGGGGTGCCTCCCACGTGAAGTTGGAAAAGCGCGACAAAGATCCCGCACCCTCCAGATGAATCAGGCGCCTGGAATGCGCCAGTGCCCCGGGACCGGAGATGATGCGGTCTCCCCGCGCGCAGCGCGGATGCCTTGAAAGAGGAAAGCTGCTGACGTGCAAGGACAGGGAGTGCGCGGGCCAATCAGCGCGGCCCTCGCGTCCGCTCGAAGCGCCAGTTTTGAGACGGCGGCGGCGCAATTCCGAAAACCAAAAAAGAAAAAGAAAGAAAACCGGATTCGGCGTTACTGGCGCGAACTCTGCTGTTCTGCTCGGGGAGGTTACAAGTTGTGGATGAAGAAAGAATAAAACAATTAAAACAGGGACAACACAACCACATCTTTCAACTAGCAACAGACGAGTAACCTTTCAAACAGCGAGCAGCCGTCTATACCCAGTAGGAGTAGGGAAGGAAGGGGGAGAGAAGGAAAGGAAAGAAAAGAAACGCGAAGTGCAAGTCAGGGTGGTAGGGTTATCTCGGATTTTAAAAATTCAACAGACGAGTAACCTTTCAAACAGCGAGCTGTTTGAAAGGTTTTATTCTTTCTTCATCCATGACCAAAACCAACACGCTCTTCTCCCAAGCGTTACAAGTTGCTGTGTTTGAATAAGATAGTTTGCCGGTGCCTTGAGTGCTGCCTCTGCCGATGGTTCCTGTGGCTGATGACGTCCTCCGCCTGAGTTCCCCTCACTCGTGGGCGAAATGGCTGCATCCCAGAACGGCGTGTTCGGAATTCGCTCCGTCCTCATTGCAGCGCGGGCAATGGCTGTCTCTGTCTCGGCGCCAGCGAGCCAGGTAAGCAGGCTCGACCATTTGGATTCATTTTCATAATCAGGACCATGTGAAACCGAACCTTTTTGCAACCCCATTTGGAACAGCCATGCTAATAATACAACCGCCAGTGTATACATTTAGCTTCAGAGATCCTCTACCGCAGTGGTTAACCGCTGTGGTAGAGGATCCTGCTGTTGTTGCCCCTTCCTGCCTTCCTAGTCTGTCGTCCGCTATGCAACGTAAAGGCTGAACCGCATGTAAGCGATTAAGCGAGCGACGAGAGTCAGTGACGAGTGGCGGAGATTTCCCACGGTCGCTTGTCGCATCGCTCGGTTTTTGGTTTTCTAGAAATCGTCGCTCATTCCCTTGGGCGCTTCCTCCCGTCGCTTTCATGCGGTTTGCCGCGTCGCGCGAGTGACCGAACGACAGTGAAGCGGATCGTCGTCGCTTGTCTCGTGGCTCGTCAAATCGCTTAGATGCGGTTTCTACTTAATTGCCGCGAAACTGGCACCACATGTACGATTGGCGCACGCTTCCATATTCCCTCTCATACTGTTTATGATAGTGCATATTCTTTTTATTTTTTGCATTAGTTACATACTGTTTTAGAACCGACGGGTGCAAATAAATCTGCCGTGGTTCTAATTACTGATGTTTATTCATTTTTCCGATGCCTTGGGGTACTATGTTAGCAACCACAGGAACCCCGACACTCCAGAAGATGTGGAGAATCTCGCACACCGCCTGGGACACATGAATAATATCATGCCAATATTTTTTGCATTGTACATATGTTTTTTTATGTTTATTTTTGCAGCCTGCAGTGTGCAATTTTTTGTCGAAATAAATTGAATTTTATTAATTTACGACGTGTGTTGTCAATATGACCTGTTAAACTGGTTTAACTGCATGGTGAATTTCTATTGTCTAGCCAAGCTTGGCTGACCACCCGGCCACTAACCTGGCCCATGCTGTATGTACAATAAAGAGCCAAGTTTGGGGTACCACTGAGCTTTCCGCCTGGCCCAGGCCATAATTCCAGCGGTGAGCCAGTCCATGGCTACACAGAGAACTGCTGGTGGTCGCCAGACTGGCATACCAGGATGGGGCTGCCTAGCGCCATGGGGCAAAACAATCTAGGCCCAGTGAAACTTCCCCGGCTACCCAGTCTGGCTCAAGCTTGAGCCGGTCGTAATGTGCTGCTTGGGTCTATATGGCAGCGTAGCTGCCAGAGTAGCGACACGACGCAAAATTATCTAGATGCACGACGTCAGAAGCGCCTAGTGATCTCCATTTTGGGCCTGGGAGGCTTCTATGGTAACCGTATTGCTAGTGACGCCGGGCGGCAGCCTTTATCTAGTTGATATCTCTATTCGTTAATTGAAAAGTGGTAAAAGTCCTAAAAGACGCTTTGCATGGCGGTACGTCACGGGGCTCTGGAGGAGCGTAGAGCCACTCGATATGGCAGCGTAGCTGCCAGAGTAGCGCCACGCTTTTCCCTGTGCCGCCTCTCACCGCGATTGGTCACAAGCGGTACCATAGCAACGAGCTGAGCTGGCTCGGTTTCCGTAACAACCGAGTGACGACTCGTCACGTGACCTCTCAAGAGCCGTGATGTCATCGGTAAGATGGCAGCGCCCAGAGCTGGTGGATGCGAGTTTGTTCGGGACCCTTAGTCGTGATGTGCCGCAGCTTGTCGACGATTTAGGTCTTCTTCGTGCTTTCTGACGTAGGTATAACGTGAAGATCTGAAAGAATGATACTTTATACCCTTTCTGTGCAAGATCGCTCTGGATATTAGCACCTGTGCGACAGCATCATTAATATCGCCTTAGCGGTGCTCGGGTTTCCGGATGTGTTTGAGGATCGATAAGACATTTAGCATGCAATTTTCGCATTCTCTTAGCTTTATTTGAACGGTGGAGTGCCTGAGAATCCATGCGAAATCTATGCGTCGCATGTTGGGCCTTGGGGAATTTGTTTTTGCCCCAAATAACCGCATAATCACAAACTTTTAGCGAGGAAGCTTTTGCGATGTTTGCGTTTTGTACTAATGAAGCATTGAACCTGGGTTTAATCCCCACCCCTGCCCGTTTCGATCTGGATGAGCATCATACCGGCGTGCGGTTGTGTGTCACTACTGCGTGGTGCACGTTAAAGACCTATAGACCCCGGCCAGGCTAGCGGTTATACTGCATTGGCTAAATTGCTCATCTACAGCGAGTGACTCGTCGCAACTTTGAAATGGCTGACCAACTACACGCTGTATAAATATTCACACAACTCCCAAGTATACTAATCAACGATTTTACGATATGCGCAGCGCAAGTTCGTCTGCTTCTTTTAGTAGGGGTTGTGGTGACGTCAGAATGCCGAGCTCTGATTGGTTCTGAATAAGGAATAGTGGGTAGACCTCAATGCAGCTTGCTTTT